AAATCGTAAAAAAAAGTTCCCCTTGCTACGCTCGGCGGTATAAAATCCGTTTATGAATACGTCCCTTTCAAAAATCATGGCCTCGGTCCGCCCTTGCATATTGACAATTTTAAACTTGACCAAATTGCTTAAATTGTAGAACATTTGTCAATGTACGATAATCATTATACAATGAAGAGATAAACCTATATATAATAGTTGTACTATATAGGGCAGTTGTTAACAACTTGATACTAGTGCATTAAAGAATTTGTTAATGTTAAAAAAAAAAAAAAAAGAAAAAAAAAGAGAGATGAAACATCGTTTATTTATATAAATTACTAATCAAAAAATCATTATTGCAATTTCCGGATGGCCTAAGACTTTTATACTAATTTATACTTAGTATTATTATAACAAGGAGGGGTAAACAGATTTTTAACGCACTATTATTGTGATCCTTTGCGCCGCATGGAAATTCCTTTTCTTTGGCGATTCTGCATGCAAATACATTTGTCTTATTCTCTTGCATTATAAAGAACGTTTAGTTTCAGAATATTTATTTTCAAACGATTATACTGTCTTCCCTTTAAGTAGAGCGGAACACTAAGATAACCATCTTGTTGTCCCAAAAAATCGCATATCAAATGTGCGTCCTTAAATTTTCAAGGCCGTACACTAATTAAGTTTGAACACTTAAATTTACATAGATGATATAAAAAAATCTAATTCCGTTTCAAAACCTTCATTTCTTTTTAATTTTTCCTTTTTTTTTATACAATACAAAATTGAAATTTGCTTTGTTCTAATATAGCAGGAGTTCAAGTGTTTACTGATTCAAACAGGTTATAAGTTATCCTCTGAAAGAAAATGTTTTTCAACGATCCCTCAAACTGCTGTTGAACGCCATATTCTAATTTTCGTCATGCGATTATGCATTATTTTCTATGACAAAACCGGGTCTGCTTTGTGAAATATAAGGACAAAACCGGGTCGTACACATTGACAAAACCGGGTGCTTCAATTTTGACATGACCCACTTCTTTCATTCCATGCACAGACATGCAAATATTGAGGCGATCATAGTGAAAAGTCTTGAAATCTCCGTGTTAATATCTTTCTTTCCGTACCTTTCTTTCCGTACAATGTGCTCAATTTAAAGAGAAATTAAACAAATTCGAGGCAGGGTTCACTCAATTCACCATTTTGATGTGCATTTTTACTTACTTCTCCATAAATCTAGAACGGTGGTAGAAAATATTACATCACACTATCGAAAATAGTTATATGTGTATGTATATTCTTCAATATCATGAAAACAACAAATAAATAAACAGAATTTCTACATTTCTCTGACTGTTTATTGTCCGTCACCGTACCGGACATTAGATACTATTGAGTCCAAACATTTTTCGCCGGGGTAGTTTAGATACAGTGGTCTAACATTTGGTAAAGCTACCTTTATTTAAAGGTATTTGTGTCATAATGTTTTCAAACTATTGGATACAGTTTATCTTACTTAAATGGATAAATATTACCAATTTGGAGATTGTAAATACATTTGTTTATGTCTAATCAAATGTCTAAAACGTAATTAAACATATTTAACTATAGTTGTATAAATTATTTCAAATTAGAATACTTAACATTAAATCTTTAACTTTCAAGAATTAAAAGTTAATCGGATATCATTTTTGGTATTTGAATTAAAATAGTTTATTCCTTTGAATTTTCATGTATTAATGAAATCATTAAGCCCATTAAAGGGGCACTAGCTGTCAAATTCATATTCACCGATTTGACTCAAATTCTCATATTTGATTAACAACAATGTAAAACATTTATCCAAACTATTAAAAGTCTAAAATAAACAATTTACAGGGCATGGGCTCGATAATATGTAGCTTCGATTCGTGTGTATTTTAGTCTAGACGCCATCTAATTAATTATCGAGTTGACCTCCGAAGTCCTCCGATGACCATATAAGCGATGTAAACATAAATATAGATATTAATAGATGAAGCGAACTCGTGCAATTGGATTTTTTTAGGTCTGTTTAATTTCATACAATAGATTGAAAATATATGTTTATCATCGTTTTTACCTGTATAAGAATGATTTTTTGTGGATCGAATCAGTCAATCAAATGATTTACCTTTGTTTCACTTTCAATGTTGACATTCTTTTCCTTTAAATAAATTTACACACACTATTCATGCGTTATCCATCTCTAGCTAAAGGGTTAGATTGAAGTTCACATGAATACGGATTCAATGAGGTCGAATTATTCACTTGCAAGTGAATAATTTATCATCAATGTTTCTTAGCTTATTTTGACAAAATTGAACCATACTGGCTGCTAAAAGCGAATAATTATTTCACTATTTCACTTTCATTAATGATTGAAAAAAAATCATATTTTAGATTTTTTATATATCTCGTAGCTAGTGCCCCTTTAACTCAATTAAGTAAAGTGCGAATCAGTACATACGTTTGAGGTTTTTACGTAAGTAGGAAAGTTTATAGTATTTAAATAATATAATTATGCAAAAATACCAGTAAAGTATTAAATGTGGAATCACTTATCATTTTAACTGCGATAAATCTTTTTCATTTTTTTTCAATTGTTTTCTCCATAAGAAGAATTTCAATGTTCTACTACGAAATTTAAATTAATTCAGACTTTTCGTTTCTGGTCAATCAGAAAATTTTCAAACTATTCTAAAAACTTTATGAGTGTTCAGTAGCTGGTATTAGTATAATACCAAATTGACCAAAGAGTGATCGAATTGATTTGATTTCAATGCAACTGACACACCAGAAACAAATCTGCTAAAGTTCCGAAAATCATATCAAAGAGAACTCAATCGATTTTGATCTGGTAGATGTAGGATTAGCCAATCAAACTGAGGGTTTCCTCAAATGGATTGACCGATTCATTCTTACACTAAAGCTATCTGTGTCATATGAAAAACCATTGAAGAAAGTAACACTAAATTTACAACATATTTCTATATGCACTTTAGGTAAAACCTTTTCATTACACTACTTGAATTGTGTTGAGTGCACAATACTTATCTGGCCTCCAAAAAAATTGTGTATGTCCATTTTATGACAAAGGTCGACACTATACTATTTTATCCAAGGTCTGCGGTTGTCAATTTTGCAAAAAGTAATTTGTATTTGTCTTACTACATATTTTTTCACCTTAGAAATATCATTTAGATGACCTCACTATGTTAATTTATTCTGCTTGACCCATTTTTAAAGGAATATTTCTTTGTTTTGATGCCATTTATGGTGGGCTTCGTGTTGCTTAATCTTTTATTTTCTATGTTGTGTTTCGTATACTTTGTTTGTCTTTTGTTTTTTTGTTTTTTCTTTTTTTTGCCATGGCGTTGTCAGTTTATTTTCGACTTAAGAGTGTGATGTCCCTTTGGTATCTTTAGTCTTTCGTTTACAATATTTGAGCGCAGGTAATTATACAATATACCAGATACGATAGTCGAAGATGTTCACAAAATGACATAACCTTTTTGGTTCAAATTTAAAAATCCATTTTAAACTTAAATTTAATTGCAGAGAAACCTCTATGCTCAACCTAAATACAAATCTTTTAAATAAATTAGCGATATAAATAATGCAGATATATATTGCTAAGGTTTTTCTACCCTTGAGCATATATTGTTGTAGACGTATTTGGCACAACTTTTCGGAATTCGGGTTTTGATGTTCTTTAACTTCGTTTTTGATTCGACCTTCCAACTGGTTTGTTTTATGCGGCACTGGCAAGTCTTATGCTGACAAAACGCGTATCTGGCAGACTATATTATAAGCTTGGTATCTTTTTCGTGGATCAATACAATTAAATAACATAAGCGATACATATTTTTAATGATACAACCGCTTTCTTATTAAATTATCCGTGCCATGTATACCTTGGTTTTTGTTTTCAAACTCCTCAATGTTGGTAACTAAACTCATTTAAAGAAATACATTTTGAATTTGCAAACTTCGAAATCAGAATAGAAGGCAATTATTCTTGAGGACACATAGCGACGCTAACACTGTCGAATCAGTCGGTCTATCTTATTTTTGGAGTTCATAGAATTGTCCCTATGGTTTTGTTTTACCTTGATTTGTATCCTTTTAATGGATTTATGAATGGATTTGAAAATCGGTAAACTCCTGTTGCCTCTAATTTATTTTAATTAAACTTGTGATTTGACGTGAATTATCATTGATATGGTCAGAATTATAGAACTGTTAACAAAATTTTGAATTATTCAAAATACTAAGATTTTATACCCCTGGAATAGATTACCTCACATGTATTTGGTTAAACCTTTCGAAATTTTGGGTCCTCAATGCTCGTTAACTTCGTACTTTTTTCGGCCTTTTAAACTTTTGTCACTGATGAGTTTTTTGTAGACAGAACGAGCGTTTGGCGTATAAACATTCTATGTATCCATGATGAGTTTATTTATAATTATTCCGTTTTTCAAAGGTTTCATCGTATCAAAGAAAAAATGGAACATGCTTATCGACGTTGATCCGCTGCTCTCTAGTGTGACAATACTTTAAGTGAATACAAGTGTTGAAAGCCGTACAGTTTACTATCTATTAACATTCTCGTCCTTTGGTCTCTGGAGAATAGTTGTCTAAATGACAATCATACCACTTCTCCTTATTTATATACATAATTTTAATTTATCTTAAAGACTGCTAAATTAATTCAAGTCTCAAATGGAACCAAAGACTTCATTGCTTTCCCATCAATAAGTTTTAAATTAATCATTCCTCATTTAACATAACTCGAAACAATTTCTTTTCCAAAGTGCTTTGGAAATCAGAATCAAACAAAGATACAACCACCAAACTTAAAAGGGAAAACTAAAAACAAACGAAAAACATAAATACAAAATACTTGGTTGTTGTTCTTTGAAATAGTTTGTTTTTGCCTTAATACAAAATTGCGTTTGTAAAATATGTAATGCTGTCAAATAACCATATAGACTTACCAATTCTTGTATCAAATCACTTAAAGTTTTCAAATCTTCTAATCCATTGTTTCCGGACGATTGTTCTTCTAGAGGTTCACTAGGTGATAAATCAAAATTTCCTATTCCATAGTTATTAAAATCTGAATTTTGCAGTAATATCTTTTTAAGTAATAACTGATCATTTTGATTGTTTTTCGACAAATCTGTTGGTGGTCCAGAACGTTTTCCATTTCCTGAAACAGATTCAAATTTATTACGTTGAAGGGAGAAACACATTCTAGCTCTAAATAAGTGTTTATAAAACAAGAAGGGTTTTTAAAACAAAAGGGCTTAACAAGTCGCCCAAGTTGTCCGAAATAAAAAAAAAAATCCTGCAGATGATGCAATTTAGTTTTGAAGTTGTTTATTGATGTATATTGTTAACATTTAAAGAGGCTTCATACATGTGTCTTTTTAAATCTGTTTAATGTATGGATGCACACAGTCGTGTAATGGTATAATATTTTTCTATCTCTATCATAATCTTATCTGATGAGGGAAAACATTTTAGTCAATGTATAGTTAGTCCAGGCGGTAAGTTTAAACGGCCGAATTACGAATAGAAGTAGTAGTCTTAAGGTCAAGTAACAGTAAATGGGCTATGTCACAGATTCTGGTAAAATTTTACATACAACTTTGGCTCGTTGAATTATATCTGAAAATCAAAAAAATAATGCCTTTATCTCTTTTATTTTCTGAAATATTACTGACTGAAATTCTTTAAAAAAAATGGTGAACATTTGTATAAGAAGCACATCAAATAGACGAAAAACGTTAATAAATTTGTCATAAAATCACCAAATTTCCAATTTTTAATACCTATATTTTTCTTAAAAAACCTATGTGCTATTGATACATAAATTTCCGTTTTAATGATATAAAATAAGCATATGGTCACCGACTTCGTTTTTGGCGTCTAAACAAATCTGTTACTTTGGTGGTAGTGAATAACGTCAAAAATCGACGTCTTACGACCTACAACGCGATCTTACGATTATTTCGACATTTTGTGTTATTTTTTCAACTAGTACCCCACTTTAATTGATGTATACTGTTAAAACGAAGTCGGTGACCCTATTATTATTTTACATCATTAAAACGGAAATTTTTGTACCAACAACATATAGTTTTTGAAGAAAAATCTATGTATCAAAAATTGGAAATTGTAGGTTTCAGACAAATTTAAGAACATTTTTCGCCGATTTTATGTGTTTTCTATACAACTTCTCACCTATTTTAAAGAATTCATTCAGGAATATTTTAGAAAATAAAAGAGATAAAGGCGTAATTGTTTTTCGATTTTCAGTCAAAGTTCAACGAACCAAAGGTGACCTTAATGTATATTTAGATTAAATCTGATACTATTTTGAATGTTCATTGATCAGTTCAAGTATACCCACAAGTGAAAGTGTAAATGGTAAATTGTCATGAAAGCCCATGGAAACATTGTTACCCAAAGGAGATCAGAGATTAGTTTGGTGAGGTTTTATCTCAATATTAGATTCGCATTTCAACTGTTCAAGTACATGTTATGTAATTTAGCTTCTAAATTTTTTGAAACACGACTACGCCTTGTACTTCAAATTTACTATGTCTGAACAAATTCATATAATATTTAACTCATTATAAGGTAAATACATTTTTCAGAGACATTTCTAAAATATTAAAACAGATTGCCTACGAAATCTTACAAAATTGCCTCAGAATAACCCTTGACACTATGTTGCTTTTTAGTCTTGGTGTTTCAGATAAGATTGTTAAGGAAAAATTCGCCAACAGATGCAATGCAGGTAGAAGCTCCTACATGATTCAAATGTGGTCAGTGATTAAATCAGAAGATAAATTATTTCTAAATGTGCTGTTTAAATCAAAGAATACAATTTGCTTACCACCATAGCATGCATGTATAGCCCATCGCCCACGACATTTGTTGGTGAAACCTGAAATTAAAATAAAACATCTAATCATGCTGTTTTGCATAGAAAATTAATCAATTCTACTTCAGGATATACCTGGTTCGGCGGTCTCGTGGTAGCTTGCTGGCCTCAAAAATCTTATGCTGTTGTTGCGATCCTATGCTTGGTACATTAAAAGTTGTCGAGTCAGTGTTTAGGGCTTCTCTTCTAAGTATGGAACATTCGAAATCAAGCGCAACAATTGCCCTATCCGAATATGAACTGGTCGGTTGAAATGCCTTTCTGTTGATTGTTAGAAATGGATTTCCCCTTTATATGATGGAAAGATAACCTGGTGGATGTTAAATGCCCAACCTACCAACCTTATTTTTGAGAGAAAAAAAACCCAAATAATACAGGCATCGTTAGACTACAAACAGCCAATTATGATTTTAATCACAACAGAAACATAACCTAACAACTTCTCGAACACAATATTTGTTTTTTACACCATAAAAGAACAAGCCATAATGGATTTAGAACTTAAAGTCAAGACAATGGCAGACAATGGTTAAAACGTATGGAGTGTAATCGTATATCTTCTATATTCAACAAATAGTTTACTTGAAAAGCCTGATTTATTTACGCTCAAAAACAAATTTGTTTATAAACGTTCAAAAAAAAGAGTGTGTTATATCGATTTCTACATAACACTTAGATTATAAAAACAAGGAATTTATAGGTTTAATCACATATCAAAGCTTGACATGGTATCATTAGAGCATGTCTAACAGAAGAGTCTGGTTGATACTAATATTCAACGAAATTATATATATTATTAAAGTTTGATCTCATGAAAACTTGATTAAAGATTATTATGCATAAGTAAATAAATGAAAAAGTAAAATAATGATAAAAAGAATCACAATAGAAGATTGCATACAAAAACGTATCTTTTTATGTTCTTTAATTTTCAAAAACAAACAAAGTGCTCTTTTTAAAAGATATATTACTGAACACAAAACAACCTAAAGAGATTTGTTCACTAACAAGGAAAATATTTCTGACGAAACCATGATTAAGTGTGATACATTTCTTAGAAGTTCGAATAAAATCGTTTAGAGTGCAGTTTGATAAATAATTGCAATAACCATATTATATAAAAAAGACGAGACAATTGAATAATGAACACCACAGTCTGAAATCAATATTACAGTAAAGAAAACTCTAATATAGGAAGAAAATAACATCAGTGTATGGAAAAGAATACTGATACGGACTTTGAAAGATTGCTTTTTATATCAGACACATATTTTTCAGTTGGGGGAAGATAATTGCATCGGAAATTAAATTTTACAGACATTTTAAGAAACCAAATATTGCAAATTTTCTAAGCACAGTTCTATAAGAGTTGCCTCTACAAAATAAGTAAAAAAAAAAAATCCCAAAAAATTCCAAATAATATAAAAATAAGGAGATGTGGTATGATAGTGTTTGTTTAATCTGCTTTCAAGACAATCTTCACCAAAAAACTTAATTATATATTTCAATATCTCAAAATATCAATATTGATATATTTTGAAATGCTATGTGGTGGTATTATCATATTATGCAGTAACTATTTTATAAGAAGATTATTATCACAAATATTTATAAATCTATTGAATATCATATTTGATTTTGAAATTATATGATCACAAAAAGAGAGGCGGAAGATACCAAAGTGAAATGCAAAGTAGATGACAAACTGGCAACATCATGGCTAAAAACGAAAAACGACCGAAAGACAAACACCGTTATACAAAATGCATCATTAAAAACTATAGATTGAGCAACACGAACTTACCAAATCCGAAATGATATCAGGTGCTCGGAAAGAATAAGCTGATTCTGCTCCATATATGGCACCCATTGTGTTGGTCATGCACATTCAAATTATGTGATAAGTCTATTTCTGTGTGTGTGTGTGTGTGTGTGTGTGTGTGTGTCTGTGGTGTTAAATACGAGGAAAAGCGGGTTTGATTAACCTTTCGGAATTTGGGGTCCTCAATGCTCTTCAACTTAGTACTTTATTTGGACTTTTTAACTTTTTGTTTCGAGCGTCACTGATGAGTCTGTTATAGACGAAACGCGCGTCTGGCGTACAAAGTTTTAATCTTGGTATCTATGATGAGTTTATTTATAGTTACGACATTGGTACATATCCGTCGTCATAAAAAGATAAAAGAAAGTCTCTACTAGATTTATTTACATCTGTTCTAGATTCTAAGAGATTAACAGATCGACATACTGAATAGACACCTACTTTTTGTGTTGAGCACTAGTTGTTTTGTATGTGTCTTTGGTATGTCGTCTCAAAAACTTATACCTCAAAAACAAAAATTATTCTTCGTCGTTCACTATACAATGTAAACTGATAATATGCTACACTGTGAATATTTTTTTTAAGTAATTCGGTTTTTGTTCACATTTATAATTAGAGAACGAATTAAAGCACCGAAGTCATGCAGTAATAATTGGATTGTTATGTATTGAATATTTATATTCAACAATATCAAATGCTTGGTTTTGAATAGTAGAAGTACAAACATGAATGTATTATTTATATGATAACAAAAACAAACAAGGTGGAATGGGTTAGGATGACAATATAAATGTATATTGATTTTTATTTTGAAGCTGATCAACGTCTGTGGTTGTCACTTAAATTTTAAAATGTTAAAGGTCATTAAATTATTATGTGACAAGGCACACAGATAGGAACGTTGTTAGGTGCATATCTTAAGATAAAGAAACAATAAATTAAATTTAAATTTGAATTTTACATAGTTAAATGTGCATTATTAAAAAAATAGATAAAACACTGTAATACATGCTTAATTTTAGCAAAAGTATAAACTAGATACATAGTTTTCAATGAAACAATGTATCTTCATAAAAGAGAGGCATTTATATACAAATATAGAAGAAAATGCCATCAGCATGCTTAAGAATAACGATTCTATTAAAACACTACATGTTTACGACATTTGCTTGAATTAACTCGGGGTGATTAAGAGCTTGAAATAAAGATATTTGTCTATTATTGAAGACGATATTTTGACACCTAGATGTCTGTTTATTGTTTTGTGTAGGATGATTGCTGACTCAATATCACATTTCACAATCCTCATTTCATTCAAATTCAATATAAATAAAAAGCTTTTGAAATTTAGAATTGATGAAGCCGACGAACCATGTTTTGTTTATTATTATTATTATTATTATTATTATTATTATTATTATCATTATTATTAATATCTATTTATTTTTATTAAAGATTTTGATAAAACAATTAGAACTTTGAAATTAAGAACATCATTGATGGAATTGTTTTTTATTTACCCCAAAATGTAAGAAATAAGTGATTTTTAGAAATGTTCTTTGGTTCCTTTTTCCTATTTCTTCTTTTAATTCAATTTTCAATGTTATATCCCATAAAATAAAATAAATGTTCGGTATATATTGATAAACTGTTCAACATTCATAAATACATATGTCCATATGCAAGCATAATACAAAGTATGAATAGTGCCTGGGAAGTTCAATATATAAATATAATGCGTTATATGCTATATGCAGAAGCGGACATGAATGCGTTGCCGGGAAAATATAGCTGAGATCAAGTGACATTTCAACCATGTGAACAACTAACATATATACAAATGCTAAAAATATTTAATTTGAATGGTTTGTTATGGTTAAATTTATAAAAAAGTGTATTGACTACACCATTGTCTTTTTGAAATCTTTTACGAAAAGTAAATGCATGAATAAATTAAATTTTTCTAATCGAAAGTGTTTTCTTCGTTTTTAAAATGTATTGCAAAAGGCAATTTCAATGAAATATTGAACAAAAACAACAGTTTTCCTTTTTTTGAACGAGATTCACTTAATTAGTATGCTCACAGGTCAGTATCACTGAATCGCTTTAAGTCGTTCTGTAAATGACTCTCTCTCTGTCATCTTATTTCTGCTGATTGCTATCAACAAATATTTACAAAGCATATGGGACATTAATAGTGTAACATAATCTAAATTTTTAGTCGCATTAACAATGAAAAACTAACAGTTGCGGTCATTATGATATTCATTTCTTGTATAAAAGGCCCAGAAAAAAGTATTTACAAACGACTCAAATACCTTAATGCGCATATACTCACCCGGAAGTAAGGCAATATCTTGATCAAGTCTTTCACCTTTAATGGACATCATATTGTCCGTAAATTATTTCAAAGAAATAGATAATAAAATACGCATTTACACTACCAGATAAAATAAAATCATTATTCACGACTTTTAAGCAAGTAACAAAATGATGGCACACCTGCAGACTTAGGATGAAATCGTATCAATAATATTGTTACATAAACATATATACGTTTTTTTTGTATTTGCTTTTCTGCGCCGCTTGAAGGTGGTGAGTGAATTAAATGAATAAGGGTTTGCTTTTTTTCATGAATCGAAATGCAACATAAACGTGTACAGTGCAGACTGTCACCTCTGAATGAACAGGTGACCAGAATACTTTACCTTTCCAGAACAGCTCGTAGTTAAATTTGACTCCTGAATTATAAATATAATAATAAGTAATACTGTTTCATTTCTAATTTTACTACACACTTTGTTGGTATATGAATCGTGTTTGCACAATTACCACAACGAAAAAATTACATCAGTCATTAGAGTTCATGTGTTATTGGTCTAGGCATTTTGGATATGTGTCATCTTAGACATAGATTTACGATATGTTTAAACGTCTTGGTTATATAAGGATTCATTATTTACCATTAAGATGAATATTTTTAAGGAAAAATAATAATCTGTCATTAGATATATAAGGTCATTTGTTGCCTTTAAAATGGGTTCGGTTTCTGATTGGTTTGATAAAGTTCGAAAGCAAAACTGATTTTATTTGTTTCGGAAAATCTAGAAAAACTGATTAACCTCTTTGTGTGGATTTAACTGTTTAACAAACCAGTATTAAATCTTTTAATTTAATGTAATAGAATTTAAAAGTGAATACAAACCTTAGATTTCCACTGAACGGGACCATTGATACAATTAAATAAAACTGGCAATAGGATTTCAATGTTCCAATGCCAACAATTGACATGTACATTGTCATGAGATTTTGTCTTTCCTTTTAGTGTTATGTTAATTTGTTTTCATGTTCATGGTATCCAATTTATATGTGGCTTTTCATTTTTGCCTCCATCATACAAAAGAAGTCTGGTTGTCCAGCATTACTTGCTCTGCAAGTGGCATCGGTCGTGTTGGTATTGGCAGTTTAAATCCGATTACAAATTTTTTTTTTACTATTTGATTTCGAATATTGCGATGATAAATGAATTAATGTTCGAAATGCAACATAAGAGAATCTAAATAAAAAATTGAAATAAAACGAAAGTTTTGTCATATTTACTTTCTGTCCATAAGGAATTAAGCTAATAAGTAACAACGGACCAATGTCTGCTATGAAATTAAATGGTGTAAACATTTACTGGTGTTATAATATACCAACTGTTTTATTAAATTTCTGACTTGATTGTCATTGAAGAGGAGGTTAAGACCTAATTCATTTATTCTTCCGGCAATTTTTCCACGTTTCAATCAGTTTTGACGAGCAAAATTACAATCTAAATTGCTTTGTTTCCGTTGTCACAGAGCCCTCTGCTCTTCCGTTAGCCAATGTGGTAATAAAAATATTGCTGATTTGATTGGCGTAGTAATAGGATATAAATGGTTGATTTGCATTAAAGTGATTTTTATATCTCTGACAAGATAGAACAGCTATTACTTACATTGTATAGTTTTGTTACTCAATTGTATTTCTATTTAACCCCGGTCGTCGTTATTGCGACAAGATAATCACTATGTTATTCTATTATATGGTGAAATTACATTGCTACATTGTCTAGCAATCGGATCATGAGGATTCAAAAATAAAGTGTCTATTGACACTTCGCTTTTCTTCATCATCAATTTTAATAAGGATCAGTCTGAAGGTCAATTAGTTGGTTCCTAACTTTTTGTAAAGGACGGTGTTTTATTCCATAAGTTTTGGTTTCGTTTTCTATCATGAGTTGAAAGGGTAAAAGCAGAGAAATTTGATCTCTGGTTAGTACATATCACATCAGAATAAACATGAGAATGTAGAACAGAAGTTCGTAAAAGATGTTGGATGTGTCATATAAAAAAATACTTTGATAAACACGTTTAAGACATGTTGATATCTCTTCCCCAATAAAGTAAAATATATATTGATCATCATGTTTTGTTAAATATTTTGATGATACTATCGTAATTCTATGCAGATCTTTGACTCGTTGAAAAAGTAATATGCATCAGTTTACACATTAATTTTTGATAAATGATTAAAAAATACATTTAAAAATCCATAAAAATGATATCAAATCAGATGAGTTGGCAGGTAAATGTTTTATAAATATATCACTTAATATGTTTTTAACGTTTTTTTATTACTTTTTTATCCTTTTGGGTAGGGGAAGTGATGTCGTTGTAAATCTTCATTCTTTTTGTGTTGTTTCAATTGTCTTTCATAATTAATATGAGACGTAAATATGTTCTAAAATAAGTTCTAATAACATCAGTTTTTTACAGCCAAAAATAAACTGATGACGTCACAAGTTCTCATATGAAGTACTTATAAATTATGCATATACAACACGAAGAAAGAAGGTAACATGAATGTTTATATTGCTTATAACACTAATAAAATTTAAAATTTTCAAGTTTCAATTTTTAGCAAATGCCGGCAATAATCGGAGAAATGCATCATAAAATATAGTTTATTGTTTTTATTTCAATCTAAAAGTCGTGAGACTACACTAAACAATATGTTTATTTTCCAAATATCAAATATTCAATCAATCGATTTTCTATGTTTATTATTAGCATATCCCTTACACTTTGTTTTAGAAGAATCCTCTCTCAAGTGATTTTTTTAATGAAATATCATACGTCATATTTTTCAAGATAAAATTATAGTCATTAACCGTCACACTTCCAGAAAACAACATGGTAACTTATGATGCTACTGTTTCTATTTAAAAATTCTTTTGTTAGCTGGAATGATAGTTAGTATTAACATGCAGAGCTCTGATTTACATGATAATATCTCTTTTTTTAGAACAATTTCTTTAATAGGTAATGTGTTTGCTTCCTTGGATAGAGATATTGTTCCATTCAATAGTTAGGATGAAAAAACTTCAAATACTGCTCAGTGTTTCAAAAAAGAAAGAATAAATGTTTATAAATTTATACTGAAATGGATTGGAATCTAAAAGATTATAAATTGATAGTTTTGTCAATTAAGAAAGAACTATGGTTGCAAATTTTCCAGGCAAACTTTACAAACAAAACAAAAACAACACTGACCTCACTAAAAGCCTGCGGATAAATGCAGGTGCTCATGAGGATAAGTAGCTCCTGTTAGAACAATTGTTATAGTTCAGGTATGTAGGAGAACAAAGCTTACTCTTTAATGGTCATTATATATCTTGCCAAAATAAAACAAAGGAAACGTTCTGAGTCATTGTAATGTCTCCTTTAGTTAAGTGTTACAAATTGTCTTTGTTTTATTATATCATTCTCCTGGTTTTAGATAAAATCTTACTATACAAATATAAAACTATAATAAGGTGATCTAGACTAAGTGATCACGGATACTCCCGCCTCCTATAGTGTACTCATCAAAGCTAGCAGGATTATAAGTTTGTACGCCAGACGCGCGTTTTGTCTACAAAAGACTCACCGGTGACACTCGAATAAAAAGTTTAAAGCCCAAATAAAGTACGAAGTTTAAAAGCATTGAGGACCCAAATTTCAGATTTTTTTTTCCAAATACAGCTTAGACAATAAATGAAAACAAAATTAAATACATTTCATGCGTCTCAAGGGCTTTTCTAGATTTACCTTCATTAGGTACGCTCAACGCCGTGATCAAGGTATCTTTCATATTTGATTTTGCCATTTGATAAAAGAAAAAGTAAAATAATAAAAATACTTAACTCCAAGGAAAATTCAAAACGGAAATTCTCTTATCAAATGGCAAAATCAAAAGCTCAAACACACCAAACGAATGGAGAACGACTGTCATATTTCTGACTTGGTACAGGCATTTCCTTATGTAGAAAATGGTGGATTAAACCTGGTTTTATAGCTAGCTAAACCTCTCACTTGTATGACAGTCGCATAAAATTCCATTATATTGACAACAATGTGTGAACAAAACAAACAGACATAATAGGTAAAAATGTCAAAAATAGGGGTACAGCAATCAATATTCTTTTATAATCTCAATCACTATAAAAACAAACAAGTCTGTCAACAAAGAAAAAAATAAAATGGCATATAGACAAAGCACATAAGCAAAAATGAAAGACAAGAATACAAAAATGATCATATCACAATAACACAATGGCGGGATGTATAAGTACCGAGCCACACCAAAAGGATATAACCAAAAATGGACTTTACAGTAATGGGTAATCATTTACAAAGACAAATAAAAGAACAATATTACACGTAATTAAAGGACTTTCCGTTTTGAATTTTCCTTGGAGTTCGGTATTTTTGGTTTTTTACTTTTTTCATGTCTCCTTTTCCTAAATTTATATTTTTTGTCCGTGAACAAATTGCATTTGTTTTATAATATCATACTCATCTTTTTTGAAAGAATCTTTCTATTCAAATTTTAAGATATACTAAAGTGATCCAGACTTAGTGATCACAGATACCCCCGCCTTCAGAACAGGATTGCTACTGGATAGATTAGTGAAGTTGATTTTTATTAATGAGCTCTTTGTATAGAGGTACCGACCGTTGCAAGACCCTCATGGGTAGTCAAGGTCGTTAAAAAAAACCTCGTCGTATAGAGATTATGTGCCAATAATGTAAACAAAATATATTTATACTACGGAATAAATGGGAAAACAAGGTTCTTCTACACAAGAATGACTATAATCCTTCTAAAAGCCAAAATTTGTTTAAACACTTTCACAAGTGGGATAATAAATAATAGTATCATGGTCATAGTTTAACATTAGATATCTAATAAAGATATTGAAGAGACGCTTAATTTTGAACAATATTAAATTAGCAGAACAACTGAATATTCAAAGTCAATGGAATGATAATTGAATGACATAATTTCCACCTGACGGTAAAGGTTTGAAATCACTACTCAATTTGCGAGCTAATTAGCCAAATAGACATCATCTTGCTAAGTAGAATAGATCATTTGCTCGTTTTTACCAAATAATTATCGAACTAAAATGAGCGTTCTATGACATCTTGACGTAATTTCAAGATGTAAGCTGAATCAATATATTGGTATCATTGACAGCTTTGGCTCGATATTCAATATGTCAAATTATAATATAAAACAAAAGGAAGAATCATATACTAAATGCTTTTCTGCTGTATATTACAATATAAAGTCAGACATGATTGTTTAAAATAGCAAGTAAATATTTTATTTGTCGATATTAATAATGCAACCGTGTTATAATAACATTAAATGGCGCTATTTAAATTCATTTAGATCATAGGGGCGCTCGAGGCTTTATAATTGGAAATCCAAAAAATGTAACCAAAAACGATGAACAAAATATCCAATCCCGGACGAGGAATCGGAGCTTTGCACGAGGGAGAAATATTTCAAAATTTTTTAATGATTTCCTAGCTTTATCACTGTAACATTCACCAATACAATATCCGTGTTGTTATGTTTCTACAGAAGCAGGAAACAACAGCAAATTGATTTTAATTGAAAACGGTACTTTTGATCATGTTTAACAACATGTTCAGAGTGTTAATTTTGTCAAATATAAGAGTGACATTTCCACTTCGGAAAAATTAGAACTGTTTAAATGTTTTACTTTCCATTGAATTGTGTTAAGTGCATCTTCTTTTTGACGAATGACTGTATGTACCTTAAGTTATGAATAAACACTAAACGTTGTTTTACTGTAGAGGTTTAAATTTATTATTAAGCGAACAAACCATCAAAATATTATGAAGGTACTGTCTGAAAATAACAGGTACACGGAGGAGGTTCGAAATCAATGGTTTAAAACGGAACTCAAACTTCATTATCCAGAGGACCATTCACGACCAAGATTAATGAGAAAATATATATGTAAAAACTTATCGAAATAGCAGGTTACTTCGCTTGATTTTATAATTATATGGTTATAAAAGTTAATTTTCAATTATGGCTCCAACTTAACTTCGGTAACATCAAAGTGAAGTTAAAAAAGATAAGTATTGCCAAATTATTGTAATCTTTGAAAATGTTTTCGACTATAGTTACTTACATCAACCTAATTTGGACTTTTGTGGATAATTGTCTCAATGGCAATCTTACCACATCTCCTTATTTTTATATTATAAGGACATTTTTTAGTAATCTCCATTAGAGCACTAAGATAATTATTGGTAAGTTCTCTTGCAGCATTTATGCTGAAGGTATCCTAGCTATTATGTACATTTTTGGCATTGCATAAAGTCCTACTAATCTGTTTATGACGTCTTTATACTACATCCATTGGATGTGTACTGATTGATACGTTAGAGTGGGAAAACTTGATTTTTTTATTAGAAGTTATTTGCACGAACTAGGGTTCGGTAACTGCGAGTACTGTTAGATCTGTGCTATGTGTTTTTTTTTAATTTTATGTTACTTGTTTTTTGCTTCGTCTCGATCTGACGAGGTTATCATTTACAACCGATTTGTTTTCAGTTTCATCTTATGTAGTGCTGATATACCACTGTCGCAGGTTTTAGAGAGGGTTGAGGGCTCAAAAACATGTTCAACCCCACCAGATTCTATATATGTCTGTCACAAGTCAGAAACCTGTAAGTCAGTGGATGCTGTCTCTCATATTTGTTTTCGTTTTTTGTTTTGTCATAAATCAGGCTGTTGGTATTTTTGTTTGAATTGTTACACATTTTGACATGTTGGGCCTTTTATAGCTGACTATTGAATTGGTTCTGGTAATTGTTGAAGTCAACATATAGTTGCTTTTATCCGCTTCATTTGGACCCATGTTGGAAAGTTACCATTGGCAATCATACATAATCTATTTATTACATAATGAAAGAGTGGTTAGCGAATTGTTGGAATTATAAATACTTTACCTTAATGAAATTATAAAAACTTGAACAGCAAAAATATATGTGCGACTTAAGATTGTTAGCTATATCGGTTATATTTAGATTTTGTTGGCTTCGAATTGACCTTTTCAGTTTTAAATTCATTTACCACTGTTATGCTATTACCTTGTCAAGTGAAGTCAAGATTTTTATCGTTTAAAGGGGCACTAGTTGTCAAATTCATGTTCACCGATTTGACTCAAATTCTCATATTTGATTTATAACAATGTAAAACATTTATCCAAATTATAAAAAGTCTAAAATAAACAATATTCCTGGCATGGGCTCGATAATATGTAGCTTCGTTTCGTGTGTATTTTAGTCTAGACACCATCTAATTAACTGTCGAGTTGACCCCAGAAGACCTCCGATTGCCATACAAGCGATATAAACATAAATAAAGATATCAATAGATAGCAGACTCGTGCATTTGGATTTTTCTAGGTCTGTTTAATTTCATATTATAGATTACAAATATATGTTAATCATCGTTTTTACCTGTATAAGAATGATTTTTTGTGGATCGAATCAGTCTATCAAATGATTTACCTTTATTTCACTTTCAATGTTGACATTCTTTTCCTTTAAATAATTGAACACGCACAATGCATGCGGTATCCATCTCTAGCCAAGGGGTTAAATTGAAGTTCACATGAATACGGATTCAATGAGGTCGAATTATTCACTTGTATTCACTTGTAAGTGAATACTTCATCCTCAATGTTTGTTAGCTTATTTTGACAAAATTGAACCATACTGGCTGCTAAAAGCGATATATTATTTCACTATTTCACTTTCATTAATGATTGAACAAAAAAAATCGTATTGTATATTTTTTATATATCTCGTAGCTAGTGCCCCTTTAAATCTTTGGATGTTTTTTTTTATTTGCCTCAATCACACACAAGAAGATTTTCTTTCATACTCGAAGAGAAATTAATTTGGAATACAGCTTCTATTAAAGGACATAATACATGGCCATAGTATTTGTTTAACATCGAATCAATTTGTAACAAAATCTTTGAGTTTTGTTTAGGAAGTGAAATTTCAAAGACGAAATGGATAAATGGAAAACGCACAGCTTACTATTTGTAAATTTAGATGTTCTTTTAATACCAAAAGAATAAGCTTCAACGATATGACTCAAATTGAATGAATGATTTATACAGCAAAAGTCAATGTTTGCGGATTTAATTTACCTTAATCATAAAAAGACTTTGTGTATTACATTTGTTTGTACTTTTCGATTTCAATCTAATTTATTTTAATCAATCTAATTTTGATATTAAAGCCCTTAATGGTAACTTTTGAAAAAAAAAAAACTTTTCTAATCAATCTGATACTCTCCTCCCCTGCAATATTTTTTTCATGGACTCTTTGGATTAAATCGAGTGTTTTTCCTCATCCAATTTTATATATCTTAATATGCAAAAAAAAAAGCTTCTTCTTTATTAAAAGCACAAATATGATAAGATACTGCAAATAGGTTTTGCATTTTTACCCCCCAAAGAAAACCCATAAATTCAGTTTAATTTTTTTTTATTTAAAATATTAGCACAATACTTTGGGAAATATGTCAAAGAGACGATATGGATATATTTTTGTTGTTGTTGCTTTCGAACGGTAAATATCTGGAATTTTTTAATTTAACTTATATATAAAACTGATTATTAAAAAGTTATTGGAAAAAAAAACCAAATATCTTGTCGTCAATCATCCGTTCTGGGAAGTAATGGAATAAAATCTGATTAAATAGTGTAATTAAATCGTACTTATTGATACATATCTTTTATCAATTGATTGATTGAAACTAATTACAAAATGAACAATCTTGTGAATAACTCTAAATGAAATGAACACAAATAGTTCAGATTTGTTTCAATCCTCGTAATACTTATTGACTTGTGGGAAAATAAAGTTTGTTTGCAGTAATGAAATCTCTTCATATTGATCATCCTAAAATCAAAAGTCAAATAGACACTGACTTAACAAGAAAACTTCACCGTAAATACCAATTACCACCCTTATATAGAACACTGTTAATTATGAACGCTCTAAAAATAAACGAAAAAAAAGCACTTGTTTGCACCTAAATTTTTCAGTAGTTTAGTACGTTTAAGTAACTTAACACACAATAAAAATGATATGCTTACATAAAGTTAAGTTTGTAGCGAGAAATATGAGTAAAAATATTATTTGATTGAGTAATAGACAATTTGAACCCCGTTAAAGGAATATGAAAAATACACCGACCGCTAGGGTTACCGTAGTTAAAATTAACAAAAATGTCTTAAATAAGAAACCAGTTCAAAACATACAACCTAAAGGAAAAATATTAACATTTCAGGTTTGATATTCCTAAATAAAAGGCCGTTTGATTTTTTCATCATCCTGTCATTAAAATATCTTACCTGACGATGTTGACGAAAAATATGTTACAATTATTGCAATTAGCCACCAGGTATTTGTAACTTTCATCTCCTGTTAAATCCCAAGTTCTAAAATTCTTTTCTAATTCCAATTCTATATAACGTTAAGTTCACAAGAATATTAAATGTAAATTGAATCTTGTGTAAAGTGAAACAATGTTTGAAACCAATCTGCTATAATCTATAAGTCTCACGCCTCCACCATGGACCAGCTATAGAGAGTTAAGGTATTGGATATTAGTCAGATCTAGAACTGCCCAGTATTAGTTAAACAAAGTAACCCCAAGTTTACGTCAATATAAAGATAAAAAGTGGTTTACACTGTAGAATATATGTGAAAAATATTTGATGTCGCAATACCCCGTGTGGAAAATAGATTTGACATTGTTAGGTGGCTTTAGAGAATTGTTTATACAACCAATAACAGTATATAATTATTATATGTTCCTACTGAATGGTATTATTGGATGAAAAATTGAGGGAGGAGACAGCTCGTCAACTCTGTCAAGAGGAATAATTCAATAACAGATATTATTTCATTTGTAATTATGACCAAATCACCGTTAAATTAACTTTATCCATGGTGAATAACCTGGTACTGCTACACAAAGGATTTGCCTTGAAACTTTGTGTATGTGTTAAACATCTAGTTTTAACCTTTAAACAGTGAAATTCTATTTCACAAATAGGTGATATGAGGGTCATCATTTGGACGCTCTTATGTGGGTGAAAATGTTTCCTGAAAAGATTCTAAACCTTCCTTAATTTTTTTGTCAGTAAAAGCATGACGTCACTTGTAAGGGATCGTTGTTCCAAGAATTCTATACTAATAAAAATAATCATATCAAGATTAAGATAAAACTGAAAGTAAAACATTTGAAACGGATATGAATAAAAGGAAATGTGAAGTATACTTCAATGAGACAACAAAACACCACAAAAATAACCAAAATATATATAGAGGACAACATACAATCTTCAACAATTGACAGGCATCTGTGCAATATGTCAAGATCTATATCGACCATAGTCTATAAAAGTTGTGAGTTTCCTCTAGTTTCAGAATTTGATGTTGTTGAATAGACGTTCATTGAACTATAATTGTATTCTTTGAATTGTTTAACAGTTTGTTTTCCCGGAGCCTTTCATATCTTTAGATATAGGGTTTACATATCATTTATGGCCCTAAGATAACATGAAGTTGTTAGTATCCTTTTCCTTTGGTTTCTGTTGGATTTTGTCACATACCACATTTCCTTATTTAAAGATGTGTATTTGAGATAAAAGATACAACAGATACAGTTAAGCCTGTTTCATATCTTGACGTACATCTTTGCCAATGAGGGTCGGTTGTACCCAATTTTTTTACATTTTTACATATTATGTCTATTTGTTTTGCTCACACATTGTTGTAAATATAATGGAATTCTATGCGACTCATAAAAGTGAGAGGTTTATCAGCTATAAAACCAGGTTTAATCCACCATGCATTTTCTACATAAGGACATGCCTGTACCAAGTCAGAAATATGACAGTCGTTTTCCATTTGTTTGATGTGTTTGAGCTTTTGATTTTGCCATTTGATAAGGGACTTTCCGTTTTGAATTTTCCTTGGAGTTTAGTATTTTTTGTTATTTTACTTTTTTTTTTTATGGAAATAAAACTTAACAACAATGAGATGATTTCAGCTTCCGAAGTGTGAACTTTCCATTCCTATGTAACAACATTCCAGCAGCGCCTGCATACGTGTATACATTCCCAGTTGATACGATATTCCAGGACTTGCATTTCCTATCATGATTTCCTCGGTTGCTGCTCACAAGGAAGCTATTAAACTAAGATTTCAAAGTGGTAAAGTTGAAATTATCCCTTCGTAAATTTTACGAACGCCATCATAAATTGGTTGACCGTTATTTCACAGATGACGACGGATATATTCCAATTGTCGTAACTACAATCCCGTCCCCTTTTCCCCGAATGTGACCTACCAAATTAGACTTATCACATGGATTGTACTTACAGGATCAACACGACGGTTGTCACATATGGAACAGGATCTGCTTACCCTTCCAGAGCACCTGAGATCACCCCAGTGTTTGGTCCGGTTCGTGTTGCTCGGTCTTTATTTTTCTATGTTGCGTTGTGTGTACTGATTGCCGTTTGGTCTTTTTCTTTTTTAGTCAGTTTATTTTCGACTTTTATGAGTTTGAATGTCCCTTTTGTATATTTCGCCTCTCTTTTTTATAAATGTTTTTTTTTTCAAGTTTGACCGTCTCAATTAAAACCATTAGTTAATAAAGAAGTCAATAATACCATTATCAATCGATGAAATACTTATAGCTTGCATTCAGGAAATTGTGAGCATTTTGTTATATAATATTATAAAAGTATTATTTTTATTTACTCGAATTTTGGTATTTTGTTATTCTGGTATAATTTCAATTAATGTTTTTGTTTTTTGTTTAATTCGTACTGTGTATTTTTTTATTGTATCGTCTGTTCTTCCAGTGACCAACATGCATTAAGATTGAGTACTTTGTGATCTTGTTTATTGCTTGATCATCTCCATGTAATTGTTCCAAGTCAGGAATCATGTCAAGTAATGTCACCAACTCCTTCTGTTTTTCTCCAGTGGGAACTGTTGGACTATTTTCAATGTGCATTTTATTAGGCTGTGTTTTCTCTCAAAATACTTATAACGTTGTTAAATGTAATTTGTCTATCAGTGAACGTCTGTTATTAGAGTGAAAGAATGAATGATTTCAACAAATAAAGCACTAGTACTGAAAACATAATTTTAAGTTCAGCAACTCTTTCTTGATTCAAAATTTTATATCATTATAGATATGAAATATACGTCGAGGGTACATTAACCTAACAACACAGAAAAATAAAATATCTTGAGGTCATCATACGGTCTCACACAATAGACAGTCTCCACAATATATCATGCTCTCAATCCCACTACGTTTTAAAAAAGTAAAACATGCACATAAACATGTGACGATGGTTAAAATAGTTTTATTATTATTTTATCTTAACCCTCATCGTTTTAATCTGGATGAGTGGAATGATAAAATTCAGTACACGAAAAGCACTTCATTATAAAATAACATTACAATAAATAATAAATAAGTAAAAAAAATGATAAACAATACCATACCGTATCAAATAATGCTGGCCTTTACTGAAAGCATTCTGAGTAAGATCTTTCAATATTGTCTTTAATCTAAGTATTATGTACTAACATTAATTTTAATCGATATAAACGTAACTATTTCTATTGAACAGTTATGAACTCTTGTGGTTCTAATTCCTGTCGATAGTTATATTTCGGCATTGCCCAAGCTTTACTAAAACTGCTTATTACGTCGTTGTGCCAAATCCGATGAATATGTACTGATTGATACTAATGTCTGGATAATTTAGGCTGAAACACATGATTTATATATTAGTTGCAATTGCATATGAACTAGCTTTCAGTAACTACATCAATCTTTGATCGGTTCTTTGTGTCTTATGTATTTTTGTTAGTTTTAGTTGTGCCGATATGACGAGTCAAACCATTGTCAAAAGTTTGTTCATGTTTCATGCTGTTCCAAGTAAGGGTTGAGCACTCACAAACATGTATAACTTAGCCTCATCCTTTATGTGCCTACCCCAATTTAAGTGGTTCTTGTTGTTTGATGATTGTCATATTTGATTTTCATTCATTTTCATTGCATAAATCCGCTGCTTTTCTTGGTTAAATTGTTTTTAATTTTGTCATGTCGGAACCTTTTATAGATTACTAAATGGTATGGTTTTTGTTCATCGTCGAAAGCCGTACGCGTTGCTAACATTGACGTCATTTTTTTCTCTGATGGATAGTACCCTCAAGGGCAATCATACCATATTTCTTTTTTTTATATTTGTATATAGTACCAAACTACTTATATGAAATCAGGTTGATATATCCTCTGTCGGTGACTGTGATATACAATTACAAAACCTATCGGCTTAGAATTTTTATGTCAAATACTAAAAAAACGAGTTACATTTTGCTTCAATTTATAAATTAACTAATTAATGTTTCAAAATGTACAAGATGCAATGAATGAACAACAATAGTTTAACTTGAGACTACATCAATACATTTATAAAGTAAAAAAGAAGAATTTTCACATTGCTAGCTTTATAAACATTATTATCGTAGTAAGCTAGGTGTCAAGTACAATGTTTTTACTCTTAATTCCGCTCATTGAAATCTGAGACGCCACTACAAACACTTAAATATCAACCAATTGATAAAGGTACAATTCATAAGGATCCAACTGAAAAACACCATGAAGAAAAGAAAAATAAACAATAGGAAAGGAACAGTCTTCCTAATATCATAACAAAAAAACAAAACACAAATGACTTTATTTTACTTGCTTTGATAATTTGCGTCCTTTTTTATATTCTAATACTAAAAAGGGGATTGCAACGACTGCAACAGGTATAGTTTCAGCAAGATGTATCGAGAGAACAATTTATAAAAAATTAAAATAACACTTTATAAATTTTAAGCGTCTGAAGGACTTTTCTGGACGTACCTCCACCAGGAACGCTTAAAATAAAAGAAAATCAATGATGTATTGGGACTTAATATGATATTCAAATCCGACTAAGGTCAACTGTGCATGAAGGGATTGGAACATTAGTTTCTTGATCATTTCTAAATTTATAAACGGACAATTAAGAAAGGTATAGTGTTAATCATGTCAATACTGAGCACTGATTACTGAGCTGATGATTACCTTGGGGGACTAATTACAAATTAGCAGCGTTATCGATTCAGTACTATAAAACATGAAAATAACTATTTATAAAGTTTATGCTTCCGAAGCTCTTTTCTGGTTTACCTACATCAGGAACTATCAAACAAAATATTTGAAAGACAATAAGGTACAAGTACCGAAAAGTTTCCCATTAAATACTTTTGTGTGTTATTTTAATATATGGAGATGAGTAGTAAATACTGTCATCAGAAACAAACTTACCTTTTTAGGTCTGTAGCTTATCCAAGACTCTCAAAGAATACTCTTTTTATTCTAAGCTCCAGGTATAGTTTGATACTGCTATTAACGTAAGCTTTGTAACAATATTTTATAACGAGTATCTATTATAAGAGCACAATTTAAAATAACCGGAACATGTGCAGTTGAATATTCACTGGTTGCAGATATAAATGGATATTTATTAGTTTTATAGTGTAATTTAGGAAGCATTTTCATAGTTATAAATGAGAGGCAACAGTAGTAAATCGATTTTCTAATCTCATAAACTAATTTAGAAGACACAAATAAAAGTAAAAGACAAAACGTAGGACACCGCATTAACTAAAAAGGAACGAGACCGGAT